TATAATCAGTACCAGTGACTATAATCAGTACCAGTGACTATAATCAGTACCAGTGACTATAATCAGTACCAGTGACTATAATCAGTACCAGTGACTATAATCAGTACCAGTGACTATAATCAGTACTTTTAAACACACAGAGGTCTTGTTTGGGTGTAAACATGACTCAGCAGTTTACCGGGTCAGACATGGTGGAGGTCACAGCTGGCGTGCGTCAGCACCGCGTCTGAAACTTTCAAACCTGCCTAATGGACTTCTGGGTAAACACTGGCTGCGTCTCCAGACAGCTGTGTCAGATGATGGAGGAGGAAGAAGCTCCGACACCGGGACGACAACACGTCGAGTCAAAGGACTCTTTGTCTGAACCTCTGGACTAAAGGACGCCCGTCTCTCTGACGTCCACCGACACCTCACTGACTGTGCCGGAAAAACTTGAAGCTGCGCCCTGACTCAGCACACACACACACACACACTCAGGTGGACCAGCTGGCCTGGTTAGTCGCTCGCTCACCTTTTTTTGGCTTTGCTCTCTTGAACTCGGCGTCCCCGCCCTCTCGCTCCAGCTTCTCCTCCCGCTCCTTCCAGCGCCTCACCTGCTCCTGGCGCATTTTCAGGAACAGCGTCTTCTTCTGGTCGTCGTTGAGGGCGTCCAGCACGTCGGGGTCGATGTACATGTCCTTCAGGATCTGCTGCAGCATGTTGGCGGCGTCTGAAGGGCCGAGGAGTCAGGAGAAGGAGGTGCTGTGGTTGGACCGTGTTGAGGAGGAGGAGGAGGAGGAGGAGGCTGGACCTTCACAGCCTCATGTTGTCGCAGGAAGTTTGGAGGTTTCTTCAGGAGGAAACCATGTGTAAATATTTAGGCCGAGAAACTATTTCTCATGAAGCGCGCTCACATGCTGTAGTCCACACACACACACACACACACACTCTCACACACACAAATCCTGTTTCTTCTTCCTGTTGTGTTGACAGAATTCCAAGCCTTCATCACTGGGACAACCTGGAAGAAACAAACCAACAAACAAACACAGAGTCTGTTATTAAAGAGTTCAAACTCTACATTTCCTCTTCCTCTTCCTCTTCCTCTTCTTCTTCTTCTTCTTCTCTGTCGTTAAACGTTTCCTCTCCACTCACTTGTCTTTTTCCTCCCTCCATGAACAGAGGAGTTCAGCCCAGTTTTCAAACTGGCTGGAAAACTGTTGGCCTTAAATGGGAGGAGATTCCTTTCGGAATGGATTTGTTTCTGTCGTCAGTCTTTCTCCCTCTCCTCCTCCCTCCCTCCCTCCCCCTCTCTTCCTTCTTCTTCTTCTTCTCCTCCTCCACCAGCACACATCCCTTCTCTCCCACACTCACACAAGTTTACGGCTTCTTTTTGGTCACTTCCATGTTGTAAAAGAGTGTTAAAACACACACACACACACACACACAGGGCCTCAGCTCCAGACGGCAGGAGCCGGTTTCTGGAAGAAAGGGAGTGAAATGTACTCCTCCATTCACTGTGGGTGAGTCAAACAATGGCCACCACAGCAGCAGCAGCAGCAGCAGCTCGTGGAGGGGGAGACAGACTGAACTGTGGCAGCACCAGAAGAAGAAGAAGAAGACGAAGAAGACAGAGACCGGTGTCTGCCGGAGACACTCCACGTAGTTTGGTACAAAAGGAGACCACAGAAGGACAGAGAGGGGTGGGGGAGGCGGGGGAGGCACAAGGAAGTAAGGAGAGAGGGGAGAAAGGAGAAGGAAGAGGGGTTTCTGAGTGAAGTACTCACAGTGGGATGTAGACAGCCGCTCCTCAGCTCTGTATGCTAACTAAGCTGGGAGTCTGAGCCCTGTAGGTCCTCCTCGTCTTTGTGTGTGTGAGTGTGTGTGTGTGTGAGTGAGAAAGAGAGAGAGAGAGAGAGAGAGTTGGCTGATGACATCACAACATTCCATAATCTCTCTCTCTCTCTCTCTCTCACTCACACACACACACACACTTAACATTTTAGAGGAAAAGAGCAATTTGAGCTGACGTCACACTTTGAAGTTTTAAAACTCTGTAAAAAAAAACAAAAAAAACCCACAACCAGCAGAACTGTCTTTTAAAACTGTAAAAAAAAAACCCACAACCAGCAGAACTGTCCAACATGTTTAGTTACCGAAACACACCGCGTTAGCAGTTTTTATGTTAGCATCATTACTGTAAAAAAAAAAAAAAACGCATATTTTTCAAAACATATTTTGGTAATGTGAATTGAATGTTTTAATAATAATCTGTTCAGATTATAGCAGATTAATAATCCGTTCCTGGACCGTTTTAACGCCGGGCCGTGGCCGCGGCTGTTGTTCGGTGTGGTTCGAGTCCCAGTCAACCCTGGACGTGTCTGTGGACGTGATCTGGTCTGTTGTTCCGCCGACAGCACGGTTCTGGGTCCACTGCTATTTCTTTTGTTCCTGGCTCTGGGTTATTTTCAGGTACACAGTGCCCTCTAGTGGACAGACTGCGGTATCGTTTTTTCCCCTAAGAATTACGTCACCACCTTAGTCTGTGCTACAGAATTTACCGCTGTATGTACAAAGTTGACAAAAATGCCGGTGGGGTAAAGACAACGTTAACACGCAGTCACGTGACTGCTGTGCAGAGATTGATGACGTCACATGTCAAATGAATGACGACAACGCTGCTCCTTTAAAATGTTCATGTTTATGACGGACTGTTCTGGTGCAGCAGATATTTAGTTTCGATCACGACCATCATTTGATCGTTCGATCGAGGCGCGGTGACTCGGTGAATATTTATTAGCATACTTGCTAATGCTAATGTTTGATGCGCAGCAGTTGTTCTTCAAACCTGTGGTGACGTGACCTTTTCTACTGCCGCCTTTACGTGAGTAGAGTCAGACAGAGTTTATAAGGTTG